TTTTCGCTCAACTTCATCAAAGATCTCTCTCTCTCTCTCTCTCTCTCTCTCTCTCTCTCTCTCTGTGCGTTTTTCATACCCTTCCATTTATGTCCTCCTCTTTGTTTGCTCGTTTCGCTGAGTCACGTTTTCATCTCCCTCTTTTTTTCCACCCTCTCTTCCTCTTCCTCATCCCTGTGTCGGTGTTGTAGATGTATCCTGGTGTGGACAGTGAGATTTCTGTGAGTAATCTGCACCCTCACCTCTGACCTCTTCATCCCTCCTTTTCATGTCTTTAATTTCCCCCGTTACAGTTTGTTTTGATGTTTTTCTCTGTTTCTCACATTAATGCAGTCTAGTGACATTAGGATTCAAGCTATATATATTATATTATATTGTATTAATCGTACGTATTGATATATATTATATAATTAAAAGGGACCATGTTAAAATAACTTTTAACTATTGAGAATTGATGTCAGTATATTAAAGGCATTAATATATTCAGTTTGAATCAGCTTTTAATGGCATCTGTAAAAGCTCTCAACGTTACATGTTTTATCCTGCAGTTAAAAACTCTTACATTGTTGCAGGTCAGGAGTTACTTTTGTTACATTGTTGCATGTTTTTTAGTTTGATGCTCATGATTGGTTGGTGCAGTCATGTGGTGAGGTCTTCTGCTCTCTGATTGGCTGATTGTGTGTGTGCATGCAGGTTCCTCTGAGACTGATTGAGGGCGTTGAGAGCAGAGATATGTTTCAGCTGCACATCATCTCCCCCCCACACCCACACCCACACTCACTCACACACACAGACACACACACACACACTCTCACACACACACTCACTTACTCTCACACAGACACACTCACACTCACTCATTCACACACACACACACACACACTCACACACACACACTCACTCACACTCACACTCACTCACACACACACACACTCTTACACACATACTTTTTTTTTTTTCTGACCTCTATGTTTCCCATCTCTCATTTTATCACATCATCACCTTTGGGCCGTTTAGCTGAAGATTTCTGTTGAATAGAGTTAATCAGATTCTTCACGTCAGACGCACAGAGAACTCACACTTTTATCCACACACACACACACACACACACACACGGTGTGAAGTGAGGGAATTGTAGTTATTTTTACTATACCCAAGTATAATATTGGAGAATTTGTATTTTGAGTATTAATGAAAACTAAATCCTCTTATTTAATTATTACATTGTCAGTATACATTATGTATAATACTTTTTAAATTACTATTAGATAATTATTCCTATTATTTTTGTATTTTATTTAACATGTATCTTCTCTTCTCTAACTTTTGCATTTGTATCTCAATCTCAGGAATGCTGAAGCTGAGATTTTTGTAAAATACATTATGGGCGAATTCCAAACAGAAGTGAGTAGGGATGCACCGAAACCGAACAAAATGAAACACTGGGCCGAATACCGAACACGCTTTTTCTAGTCTTTTTCCCCCATGTATTTTGCCAATTTTTTTCACCATTGCACAAATTAGATAGCCAAAACTTGCTTTTTACTGTTTTGTCTTGCTTTTCAAAGAAAAAATCAATTACAAAACAACAATTTACAAACAAATTTTTTTTTAACATTCTAGCAGACATTATACCAACAAAGCACAATTTAACTTAAAATTAATAAGTTAGTAAAATAATATTTTTTGGCCATCAGACCCCCTTCTTGAATCAGGCATGTATTTTTTACTGTACAATTAAAAGCAGCCTTGCTGAGCAGAAGAGACTTCTTTTAAAACATTAGAAAGTATTACAGATCCCAATTTGAACACCGTGTGTGTATGTTATAATAAATGTATTAACAGAGCTGTTGAAATTATTATTATCCTTATTATTGTCTTACTTTATATTTTATTTTACAGAACAGTAAAATTACAATACTAACATTTATGAATGTTGATGGAGTTCTTGCTTTTTCTTTTATTTTGGCGGAAACGCGCAGGAAGACATCAGCGCTTATTTTTGTTGATAGAAGATTTATAAATGAGTCTCATTACAAATACGTCGCACGTATCGCATTGTCGTCACGTGCCTTGTAAAAAATGATAAAAATGTGACTGAGCAACTGACGAGTAACGCTGGTTCAGCGCAGATTTTCCTCGGGCTTTGGACTTTGAACCCTGGTTAACAAGCAGATAGCGCGGTGAGTTCATGCAGCGCTGTCAGAATACATGCAATGCGTGCGTGCAAACTTAATTGTTTAAGACCATTTCGCGATTTTAATCATCATACAGTAACCAGCAACAATCACCCCTTCCTCTTCTCCTCGAAGAGATGTGATGCAGCACTAAACAGTCTCTCGCTGTCTTTGCTTGTAATGATTTTTGCATCTTTTTTTTAGACAGTTTTAAATGCTTCCACACTGCTGACATGTTTGTTGCATTGCGCCTCTCACTCTACCGTGGTTGCTATTTGATCGCGTCACGTGATTATTGTTCGGTACAGTTTATTAGGTCTTTTCGCTTATTCGGCCGAACACCGAAAGAGCTTTTTTTTGCTATTTTCGGCCGAATAATTTCGGTTACCGAACATTCGGTGCATCCCTAGAAGTGAGCATCGCTATGCCCTACTCCCTTCGAAGGGCAGAGCCCTTGAAGTGTGTTCTGTTAAGGGTGTAGGGCATTACTGTCTCGTATAAGCGTTTGGAACTCCCTTGGTGAAGGGAATGACTGACCAAATGTTACCTTGACAACGCTGCACGTGCATTCAGCACTCCACCAGTTGTTGCAAATATATATTTCTTCTCATTGTTATAATTTTATTCAAATATTGTCTGTCTTATTTACTATTAAGCTTTTTCAAACTAAACTTGCTTACACTACCATCTTAAATAATATTTCTGACGAAAAATATTTTGTATTACATTAAAATAAAGACTCTTCTACTTACGTTTGTGTCGAAATCAGCTACAACTTTGCTTTAAAATGTCGCAAGATCTCCTAACTGAAGATCACATGATCACAAACGGAAATCACTTCCGTGAAGTGAACATCGCATGTTCCCTTCGCTAACGGACTTCTGGAAGGGCCCTTCATGAAGGGATTCAGTTGTTCACTTTCGTTTGGAACGTCCCTACAAATAGCGTCCCCTTCCCGAAGCGCCCTTCAAGGGCGCAAAAAAGCTGTTTGGAATTCGCCCTATATATATATTGTTATACCTACTTCAATATTAAATTTTTAGTGTGTGTATATATAATGTATTTTATGTTTTAATTACTTTTAGATAATTTGTTTTTATTACATTTCACATTTTTATCATCTCAAACTCACTGATTAAAAACTCTAAAGAAAGAGCATCCTCTTAAAAAAAATGATCCTTGTGACAAAATTGGGGTTTTAGTTTATATACCTATTATTTTTATTATTTAAATAATATTTGGACTTTTTAGAAAATAAAATGAATGCATTTTAATTAGACATTTTTATTTTAACTTTTGAGAACTCTGAAACTGAGATTAATAATACCTCATTTTTTGTTAGTACATATAATTTTTTTTTAATTACTTTTAGATAATAATATTTTTTATGTTTTTAATAACTTTTGCATTTGTATCTCAAGGAGTTTGAGATTCAAAGTGCATTAATAAATGTGTTGGTATTAGCCGATATTATGACTTATCAATATCGATCTGATTAATCTGATATTGTGCACAGATCATAATAGGATTATTTAATTAAATTCAAACACTAAAATTTCTGCTCCAGGTTTCAGACGTCCTGAATCTTTTCTAATGTACATTGTTGTTTTGATGCCTGATGTTGCTTGTTTAAATCTCACATCGGTGCGACATTGTGGAAATTACAAATGCATATTTTACATTTACTAAGATGTAATTCAAATCAAAAGTGGTTCTGTTAACATTAGTTAATGCACTGTGAACAACATGAACTATGAGAAACTATGAAAAAAAGATGCCTTGTTGTTAGTTAACATTAGTTGATGTTTAAACTGTTAGAGCTTATTGTAAAATATAATTGTCTCTGTTTTCATTGTGCTTTTGCTGAATCCGTTGGAATCACTGTTGTTTTTTTGGCATCTGCTAAATGCATGAATGTGAATGTTTCCTGCGTCAGGTGTCATTTCTCGACGTTCAAGCAGTGTGAGGAGTGGCTGAAGCGCTTGAACAGAGCCATAGCACATCCGGCCCGTCTGGAGGAGCTGTTTGCGCTGGCATATCACGCCTGGTGTTTAGGAGGAAACACGGACGATGAAGAGCAGCACCTGCACCTGTGCAGACCAGGTACACACACGAGCATCATATTTCATCATCAGGCTTTTATGGCTCATATAGTCTTGATAGAGTGAGAATATGAAGGAAAAACAGCTAATTTTTATTCAGAGATACTTGGGATGGGCCGATTAACGGTTTCAAGGTATACCGCGATTTGAAAATGTCACGGTTTCAAAACCGCTAATATTTTCCGTTATACCGTTCCAGCGGTATGCACTGTTTTTCATGTCTCCGCAAAGTGTAGGAATCTCTCAGGTTGAGTGCAGTGTAGAGAGTAACATGAGCCTCCTCCTCCTGTTGGTGCGGGCGAGCGGTCAGTCACGTGTGTGTGTGTAGGATGGCCGAATTCGGCAACCGGCCGTTTTTTGTCTCAACTCGTCTCTGTTCTGAACTTGCACAAACTGCGTTGCAATGCAATCGTTTTCAAAAATGTCATTTATGTGAAAATATGAAGTCTGTAAACTCCCGTTAACACAGGCCAGACACGTTGAAGACGAACGCACAGAGAAACATATTGTAGCAGGCAGATCACTCACTGTTCTTGATGCACAAACTATTGGAAAAGCAACTCGTCTCTGTTCTGGACTTGCACAAACTGCATTGCAATGCAATCATTTTCCAAAATGTAATTTATGGGAAAATATGAAGTCTGTAAACGCCCGTTATCACATGCCAGAGATGTTGAAGACGGACGCACAGAGAAAAATACTGTAGCAGGCAGATCACTCACTGTTCATGATGCACAGACTATTGGAAGAAAATCCTAAATATTGATTTGGGGGTTTATATGAACGTGTTTCTGAGGGGAACTGACTGTCTTCCGAAAAGTTTACGTGGTATTTTCTTTTAATCTCGTCTGTGTATAGTTAATATTAAAGCAGTGTTTCAGCGCAGTGCTGCATTGTTTACGGCGGTAACCAAGGAAACGCTGTATCTGCTGTTCCAGAAGCGCCTCCTGTTCAGCGGAAAAAATTTTTTTTTTTACCCAGTCATTTAAAAAGAACACATTTTAGAGCTGTAACGACAATACCGTGAAACCGTGATATGTTTGCTTAAGGTTATCATACTGTCAAAATCTCATGCCGGCCCATGCCTATCAGAGACTCAAACGGAGCAAAAATATGAATTAGCTGCAGATGCTGATATTTATGAAATTCTGATGCTTGTAATGTAAATCAATGAGATATTTATAAAAGTCAGGGGCGTTTCCTCCGAGTAGGCAAGGGAGGCAGTGTCTCCTCAAAATATTGGATGAGAAAAAAATTTGTAGTACAAAAATAAAACAATGCCAGTATTACAAAATATTAGGGCTGTGCAATTAATCGAAATTCAGTTTCGATTTCGATTTCTGCCTCCGATGATTATGAAAATACAGTAATCGAGATAAAATTATTATTGCGTCCCATTCCGCCACCTTTCCAGCGGTGCTCTTTCGTTCCTCCATAAAAGCCCAATTTCGATGAGATTGAAATGATCCAAACATATAATACAATGCAATCCAGTGCTGATTGAGAGATATATATATATATATATATATATATTGAGAGAAATAAAGGCTCCTCAGAAGATGTGAGATGTTCTGGAGGCTTGTGAAGATCATTCCTCCGCTGAGGAACAGTGAAAGTAAAGCTTCTGGAAACAAACGCTCCTCAAAAGATCCTGAGGATCAGATTTGAGACTCTAAAAAACGATTGATGGAGAATCAAGTAAAGCCGAGCTTCTTCAGTCCAGTAAGTGTTCATCTGGAAATATTACTGCAGTTATTCTGACGTTTACTTGATAAAAATCAATAAAGATTTGACAGCAAAAAGACACGAGAAGAACCAGCTGAAGGTGGACATTTGTACAATTACACAAAAAAACTCTATACTATCAGTCAGATGACAGAAGGCATGGAGTAGACTGAGTGCGACAGGTTTTTTTGATCATGTTGATCATAAATTTGCATATCAATTACAGTACAGTAGGCTTCGTAGGGTTAAACGCATAATTTTCAGATGCTTTATGTTCTCCAGAACTGCAGACTGATCCGAAGCCGCTGTGTTTGTGTCTCTCAGGTGATCACGTGCGGCACAGGTTGGAGGTGGAGGTGAAGCGGATGGGATTCGACATGCAGAACGCCTGGAGAGTGTCTGATATCAACAGCAACTACAAGTAAGATTGAAGCGTGATGATGATGGACTGAATCCGGCTTAAATTGATTTCACTAATATACTGAAACCTGTTGAACAGCGACTCGAGAGCCAGAAATCAATATTTCTTTTACTATTAGTATTTTACTTACTATTGATGGACTTTGCAACATTGATTCTGTTGTTGAATTAAATTGAATTAACATTGAACTAAATTGAGCTGAATATTGTGTAGGGCTGCTTATGGAAAACATCATAATCATGGTTCTTTTGGTCAATATTGTAATCACTATTAGGAGTGGGTGATATGACTAAGTTCTTATGCAGTACCAAATATAATTCTTATACAATATCAAATAAATATAAAATATATTTGACTGGAAATAAGGTTTTAGATACCAGTGAAATTTCACAATTATGGATACCAATTTCAAAACTAATATACTTGGTTAACTAATGCAAGTAAAAAAAGCCTCAAACAATTACTGAAGACAAGTAAACAAAGAAAATTACTAACAATACGACAAATAAAACGGACAAAAATTAAATAAAGTCTATGGCTGCTCGATTATGGCAAAAATCATAATCACAAAGGTTAATTTGGCAAATATTGTAATCGCCATTATTTAGCACGATTAGGAGTGGGTGATATGGCCAAATTCTTATATAATATCAGATATAATTCTTATACAATATCAAATAAATAAAATATATTTCACTGGAAATAAGGTTTTGGGTACCAGTGAAATTTCACAATTCTTGATACCAATTTTCGAAACTAATACTAGGTTAACTAATGTAAACCATTATTGAACACAAGTAAACAAAGAAAATTACAAACAATAGGACAAATAAAACAGACAGCAAGATATGAATGAAATAATAATGCTTTAAAGTCTGTCTAACAGTATAATATTCAACTAATAGCCGACTACATTTGGCACAGTAATAATTTTATCTCCAATATCATGTTTTCTTAAACGTTGAAAGCCGAAATCAAAGGCAAAACTTGAATTTGATTCCCTGCTTTATGGCTGAATAATTGTTAGTTGTCTTGTTTATTGCTGTGAAGCTGCTTTGTTTTGTGTAAAGTGCTAAATAAATAAAAGTGACTTAACTTGACTATTTCAAATCTTCATAACATAACCAGACAGTGTTTTGCTGTAGGTGTAGTAGGGCTGTCAAAAAAAAATCTAATTTAGAATATTTGTCGAATTTAAAATAAAAATCCACATTTTAGGTGTGCGTTAAGGAGGCAGCCTTATCAGTAGCTTTTTTCATCCACCTATTTTTATGCACATTTTGGATTATCGCATAAAAAAACGCTAGATGGAAACGCCAAGATGCGCATAAATTCTAAAAATGCGCATAAACTACGATGGAATACAATTACCGAATAAATTCCACCATGCACATTGAAAAAGTCATGTGACTTTGCGCTATGAGATGGGATAAATTGACTAACCAGCGGGCCGATCTCGTTCACAGCATCTATATGTTGTTTTGGTCATTCTGAAATGCCTGAGGAAAGTCTGTCATCACAGTATTTCTGTATAATTACTGTCTTACACAACTGCGTTTCCAAACAGCAGGCATCCACCTCTAAAAGCAATGACCGCATTTATTGTGTTACATCTGCTCTCTCTGAAGCGCAAGTAATTTATTACATATGAAAATTATTACATTCAGTGGTTTCTCCTGGTTTTCTTAGAGATATTTAGTGCCAGTTTATCAGGAAGTGACGATTTTGTTCTCTTTGACTTGTTGGATGGAAACGGTGCTTTATTCGCAAATGTTTTATGAGATATTCCAGTTTTGCGCATAAGTTAAATTCGCATCTTTGGATGGAAACATAGCTAGTGGCACACAAGATGCGATGACGATGTAAGTGTCGTTGCATTTTAATGTTTTTCTTGGCTTATCCAGTTGAAGCCACTAGATGCAGCGCTGCTACGTAGTTCATTCAAAATATTGCGGGAAAGAGAAAATCAATGCAAAGAAGATTATGCAAGTTCAACTTTGAAAAAACACATCTCGAGACTTTATGGCAGTTTTTCCCCATCCCACTGCATCTCGTGTTTTTAAATGAAAAAGTACTCTTTGTTATTGGTTTTCGGCCCTTTGTATTAAACTATACATACATTATGCTGTTTTGTTTCTAATTGTTTAAGCAACTTAATTA